TCATCGGATGCATACCGTGGAAACTGCAGAAGACATTATATACACACAGAGACCATGAAACAATACCTCCTCCCACCCCACTGTCCTGCTGGTAATAGCTTATCTAAAGTGATCATCAAGGAGGTATTGTTTCATGGTCTCTGTGTGTATATAATGTCTTCTGCAGTTTCCACGGTATGCATCCGATGAAGTGAGCTGTAGCTCACGAAAGCTCATGCTCAAATAAATTGGTTAGTCTCTAAGGTGCCACAAGTACTCCTTTTCTTTTTGCGAATTCAGACTAACACGGCTGTTACTCTGAAATCTACACCACAATTAAACAGCTTCTTAGCCCAAGCCCCACAAGCCCAAGTCAGCTGGTACAAGTCAGCTGCAGGTGTCTAACTTCAGTGTAGACATATCTTAAGTGTCGTGCCCAAGCTCATAAGTGAAGTCTAAAGCAGAGCTGGGCATTCTCTGAATTCCAGTCCAGTACCTTAACCAGAAGACCATCCTTCCAGAAATGTGTTACTTAATCTTGAGATCACATGGATATGATAAACCCCTCACATTTGGCAGTCAAGTGGACAAGTTAAATCTGCTCATATTCAAGAACCAGATTTGTATGTGTATTTTACGATAGCGGAAGGCAGCATCTAGGCAGCACCAGCCTCTATTTAATATTATAGAATTAGACAGAGTTTAAGAGGTGATTTGTAGCAGCTACATTTTCACACATATGAATATGTTCTAGTCTCTAAAAATATTATTATATTGACTCCTGTTCATTTCTTCTTTAAAACCTTAAATAAAATAAATAAATAAATAAAAGGCTTGTGTCCTTTCAAGTGCCTCCTTATCAAATTATTTCACTTGGGCTTACGTGCCTCTTGTGTATTACTTTGACAGAATGAGGTTTGTTTAATGATCATAGCATTAAAGATTCTTGCTCCGAAGAGAGACATTAGCACACTTCAGGGGCTCTGTGTAAAAAAACAAGAGATGATGGAAGGTTTTTTAAAAATATAAAACACATTAACAAGCAGTTATGCCTAAATAAGGCATATTCCTTGTTATGCTGCCACCACGCTGATAGGTTTTCCCAAAGATAGTTGTTCTTTATTCACCCTGGACCCAGTCCTGCTCCCTTTAAAGTCAATGCAAGCCAAAACTCCTACTGTCTTCAGTCGTGTAGGTTCAGGCTCTGTAACAGAAGGGTAACAAGAAGAAAAGCCCCTCCCCACAGTATTTAAATGTATGCTGTCAGGCCATTTTATAAAAACAATGGCCTGCTCCTCCATTGCCCCTGCACCTTGTGTTGTGATTTACATCAATGTGAAGTGGGCGTAAAAGGCTACCCAATCAGAACAGCAGCATTTTACATTCCCTGTACCCTGGTGTAAATGACAACACAGGTGCTGGACAATGGAGAGTCAGGCCCAAGGTTTTATAAAATCTGCAATTAATGTGTTCCCACGTAAATGTGTAAGGACAATAAAGATAGTTTTTTGTTTGCATTTCAACATCCTCAGGGACTGCTTGCACCCAAAAAAAGGCAGCAATAGGTAGAGAAAATAGAACATAAAAGTAAAGTGGTCAAAGTGTAACTGACCACATCTTTATAACAGTGTTTTATTTTTTTAAACTATAGCTATACACAAATATACGTTGATGGACATGCCCATATTATGGGGGACTGGTAGCAACTCCATAGCGAAGGCTCAGTTGGGATTTGCATTTGGAGGTCCCCAATCTGGCATTATAACACTCCAGAGAACAACTGAATTTTCCTTGTAACATTTTAGAAAATAATTACCGACTTTTGCAGAAAAAAACTCAAATGCCCCCTCAGTGAAATTTTGCTTCGACAGTCATTACTCACCCCTCTTTTTCGGGGGTTAGGGGGCAGCATACTGGGGGCAGGGAGAACATAACATAAGAATGGCCATACTGGGTCAGAGCAGTATCCTCCCTTCCAACAGTGGCCAATGCCAGGTGCCCCAGAGGAAATGAACAGAGCAGGTAATCATCAAGTGATCCTCGCTTATTCCCAGCGTCTGGCAAGCAGAGGCTAGGAACACCATCCCTCCCCATCCTGGCTAATAGCCATTGATGGACCTATCTTCTATGAATTTATCTAGTTCTTTTTTGAACTCTGTTATAGTCTTGGCTTTCAAAACATCCTCTGGAAAAGAGTTCCACAGGTTGACTGTGCCTTGTGTGAAGAAATACTTAATTTTGTTTGTTTTAAACTTATTGCCTATTAATTTGGTGACCCCTAGTTCTTGTGTTATGAGAAGGAGTAAATACCACTTTCTTATTTACTTTCTCTACACCAGTTGTGATTTTATAGACATCTATCATATCCCCCCCTTAGTCTTCTCTTTTCCAATCTGAAAAATCCCAGTCTTTCTAATCTCTCCTCATATGGAACCTGTTCCATACCCCTAATCATTTTTGTTCAGGAAAGTGGAACCTTTTCCAATTCCAATACAACTTTTTTGAGATGGGGCGACCACATCTGCATGCAGTACTCAAGATGTGGGCATACCATGGATTTAAATAGGGGCAATATGATATTTTCAGTCTTATCTTATTTTCTTATCTTATCTGTCCTAGGGAGGTAGGTGTTCCCCTAGCTAATCAACCACAGTCCCCACAAAGTCCATATTTCACATACACATTTTTATAACTTCTCTCATACAAGCAAATTTTGAAATGTTACAATTAAACACATCATTATTTCCTTTATTCTTCATAGTCAAATAGTTGTCTATTGAATACAATGAAGGGAACTGCTCAGAGACACCAGCTACTTCCATTTACTGAAGTTACAGGAGGCATCTGCCTCTAGTGGAGTTGCAAGCTCCCAATCTCTAACAACTTGACTGCAACCATCTTGTCCTAATACATTTAAGTAACAAGGAGATCAGAAGAGGTAAAAATTGAAGCCCAAATTGTCAAAACTTGCAGTTCTGCTAAGGAGGCAGCTGCTTTCTGTCAAACTGCTCTGGTTCATTAGAGAGCAGTCACTCTCAGATGGACTTCAGAGAATCTGTGGGACTCTGACTCAGCTGCTGATCTTTAAAATTGGTTGGATGGACAAAGCAGGAGACAAAGAGGTCGCCAGCGGGGCTGAGTAGTAAAGCTCCTGCTATCTCCCTGGCTGCCCACCCTTAGTCCCCACCCTTGCTGCAAAGCCCAGCCCTTGGTCCCAGGGACCCATTCAATCCACATGCCCTAACCCCATTCAAATTGAATAATTTTTATTAACATTCATTTTAATGATCATTTATTACTTTTAATTGATCAAATATCATAAAAATAAACAAACAATCTTTGGGGGGGGGACATAAAAGCAGCCAGTTTCAGTTTAAAATTGCGGTGGTTTTGGTGCCTAGGAACTTGCTCATCTCAGAAAACTATTTATTTGGAGAATTGTCCCTGAAAACTTCTAAAATGTGGACAACAGAGCTGGCTGAAAATTTTCTGATGGAACAGTTTTCAGTGGGAAAATGCTGATTCAACCAAATTGAAATGTTCCACAGGAAGCAGGCAGCTCCCCAGCTAAATTCCTGGCTGCTCAGGTTTTTTCAGTTTAATATTTGATATTTCACCAATTATAACAGGAAAATACCAGTTACCAAACCAATGACTACACCAAATATCAATTATCCATTTGAACAACAATTACAATTGAGGAAACCAAGTACCAGTTACCAAACTAATTAGAAAACCAATTACCAAGCCAACAATTACCAATTAAAATACCTGTCACAGGGTGTACAGATCCCATGCTGTATCAGCCTAAAGGGTTCCTGGGGAAACTGACTGCCTGCTCAGCTGCGGCTGATTGGGAGACTCACAATAGTTGCAGAGATAAAACAAGGGCAGAGCAGAAGAATGGGGTGGGTGTCATGAGGCTGAGGACCCACAGAGAGCAGGTGCCTTTGGCAACAGGAAAGCTGCCCAGGAAACTGGGTGACCACAGGGTGTAACTCAGAGGCATGATAGAAAGTAGGCCAGGGAAACTATAAGAGGTTGGGAAAGCTTGGAGCCAGCCATTTTGTACAGGGTCGTTAAAACCCAGGTGGGCAGGCCTGGATTCCCCTACCAAACCCAGCAAAGGGGCTTATTAAGGCCTTGAACAATTGAGCATACCCAAAGGGCCCAGGGAGTGTGTACCCCTCATCTAGGGCCACAGAGTCCAATACTTTAGGAGTCCAAACATGCAAGAGGGTCAAAAGATAATCAATCAGTGACTTGGTCAATGGGCTGCGGCCATACCAAGGAATTGACAAGCAGGCTAGAAGGTGGGCAACCAATCAAAGAGGGAGGGAAATTAAGGCAGAGTTGCCCTGTCACCCAACCTCGCCACAAGGTGGTGCCAAAGATGGAACATGATCTCCATATAGCAGTTCAAAAGCCAGTTTATAAAATTTTTGAAAAGCTGTGATTTAGAACATAAAACTCAAACATTTCAACTATTATATCACAGCATGACGTAACATAATATAATAGTCCAAATGTTTTGACTTTGCTGCATTATAATATATATAATAAGCTGAGTATATAAGAAACATTTCAGCCACATTGAAATAACTTTTCAATAAGGTTGAAAAGAAGTTACACAATTTTGCTCATGGAATATTTTGAAATTTATAGTCTTCATTCTGATTTGCAAACTTTTTTCAAAATGTCCTGCAGAATTAGAATTTCAGATTTCGATCAGCTCCAGTTGACAAGCGTGTGGATTGACAATCTAGCAAGATACAGTTCTTAGAGTATACATACACTCATCCCCATCTTCCCTTTTCCCCATTGAATTATCCCTTCCAAATCTATTTTTCTGAGTTATGGAGAACAGTCAGCTCACTAAGGTTGAAGCAAGTTGGTGTATTCTGCTGCAAATTTACAATTAACTACCAAAGGCCCTTACTGTATACTTGTACCTATTTAAGTGCAGCGTTAAAAGCAATTTAACAAAAAAAGTGAAATATTTCTGATACTGCATACTTTACCCGTTATGTCATGCTGTTTGAATGACTCACTGTAGATTTGATACTGATTAGGGCAGTGTTTCTTCAACCACTTGCAGACATCCTGCTGTGTCCACAGAGCTACTGGTTTTGTCAGTTTCACAGTACCAGACTGGAAAGACAGAACAGGAAAAGAAATGGTATTTAGCCCTACGTATCACATTTGTTTCTAATGTAATTCATATAATGTAGCAAAATAATTCTATTTGGGAGCCTTCCTTAGTGGCAAAAGTACAAGGGATATGAGGATCAATTATTCAAGTTTACATGGAGGGATCATATCTAGTGCAAGATTTTCTGCATGTTCCTTGTATCACACAAGTCTACCACTTTCTCTTACCTATTCAGAATCTAACCTGTATAAATAATTAAGTCATAAAGGACCAGATTCTGCCACTTTTCCATAATGCTTACCATAAAAGGTCAGCACTTACCCACAGAGATACCTCAATAGTTACAGCTATAGTCAAATGTTAACTTTTTAATGGTGACTAGTGTATACACTTTGATACTAAATATTACTTAGTGCAGATTTCATTATTTTGTATTCAATATGATAAGTCACTGAATGAGCAATTTTCACAGACTCAGGCCAATGTTCTTAATTTTCACATGATCCTACTCTTGACAGAAGACAACTTATTAAAGAAGATGTCAAGATGTTACAGGTCCTGGCTCTCTTTCTCCCAGGCCAACTCCGCATAGAGTATGCCTCTTTGCTTAGCTAGTGCTCTACATTACAAAATACACCTCTTCCTCTGAAGCAGGGAGTGAACTCTGAACCAACAAACCATTCATTTCCCTTTCTCCAGATAGATGGATCAGAGTCAAAGTGATATTTTATTCATAAAAGTGATTGTTCAACTGGCTTAATGGGGCTTCAGATTTATTGGGTCCATACCAAGTTTGTTATATTTATAAGTAAAAAGTGGTATAGCTTATTAGTTAAATCCATCAGTCCATTAAACTCAACCTGGGCTTCTTTTCTTTTAGCTTGACATTAGGAGTACTTGTGGCACCTTAGAGACTAACAAATTTATTTGAGCAATTTGTTAGTCTCTAAGGTGCCACAAGTACTCCTTTTCTTTTTGCGGATACAGACTAACACAGCTGCTACTCTGAAACCTGTCATAACGTCAAGCTGGTTTTTTTAATCTTCATGACCCCCTGTACAACTTCCTGTGCCAATGAGGGCAGAGTTTGGGGATAATTGGGATGCACTGGTTTAACAGAGAACAGAATTTGGCTTGCAGAATATCTGGTACTACTGGTGAGAATCCAGGTTGAATTTCAGGTCCCACGCTGAGTTCACACAGCTGAAAGCTAGGAAAAATAATAATTTTACTTGTAAATTAAACAAATTTGATATGTAGTTAGTGAAACACAATAAACCCCACAATGAGTTTTACAGAGCAGAACCACACGTTAATATGGATCAATTTCACCGACTATTTTTGGAATATTATGTACAGATATTCCTACATAAAGGCAGGAAGAAACATGAAAAGAAACACAAAGAAAATAAAATGATTCGTGTATCTAGTACATGAACTTAAAAAGATGTATAACAAAATTGCAGGATTATGATCAGACCTATGAACCAGAATAAGATGTACTGGCGTAACAGCATCCACACGAGGTGGGTTTGTATGACACACATTGTAAGGAGAGTTTCAGAGTAACAGCCGTGTTAGTCTGTATTCGCAAAAAGAAAAGGAGTACTTGTGGCACCTTAGAGACTAACCAATTTATTTGAGCATAAGCTTTCGAGCATCCGATGAAGTGAGCTGTAGCTCACGAAAGCTTATGCTCAAATAAATTGGTTAGTCTCTAAGGTGCCACAAGTCCTCCTTTTCTTTTTACTTTACTCTTTTTGTAAGGAGAGTGGTCACTTTAGATAAGCTATTACCAGCAGGAGAGTGGGGTGGGGGGGAGGTATTTTTTCATACTTTGTGTGTATAAAAAGATCTGTGTATAAGTAGGGGCATAGCGAGCAGTCGAGGGACGTGATCGTCCCCCTCTATTCGACATTGGTGAGGCCTCATCTGGAGTACTGTGTCCAGTTTTGGGCCCCACACTACAAGAAGGATGTGGATAAATTGGAGAGAGTCCAGCGAAGGGCAACAAAAATGATTAGGGGTCTGACTTATGAGGAGAGGCTGAGGGAACTGGGATTGTTTAGTCTGCAGAAGAGAAGAATGAGGGGGGATTTGATAGCTGCTTTCAGTTACCTGAGAGGTGGTTCCAGAGAGGATGGTCCTAGACTATTCTCAGTGGTAGAAGAGGACAGGACAAGGAGTAATGGTCTCAAGTTGCAGTGGGGGAGGTTTAGTTTGGATATTAGGAAAAACTTTTTCACTAGGAGGGTGGTGAAACACTGGAATGCGTTACCTAGGGAGGTGGTAGAATCTCCTTCCTTAGAAGTTTTTAAGGTCAGGCTTGACAAAGCCCTGGCTGGGATGATTTAATTGGGGATTGGTCCTGCTTTGAGCAGGGGGTTGGACTAGATGACCTCCTGAGGTCCCTTCCAACCCTGATAGTCTATGATTCTACACTTTCCACAGTATGCATCCGATGAAGTGAGCTGTAGCTCACGAAAGCTTATGTTCAAATAAATTGGTTAGTCTCTAAGGTGCCGCAAGTACTCCTTTTCTTTTTACTTTAACTATATGAGTATGATTAAACCAGCAGTGCTTTCTAGTGTGAACAAAGACAAAACCAATCTATGAATAACAGATCATACATCACGCTAGCTGTTAACACTGATTCTCACCGGCTGTTTCAATTTAGTTCGGAGCTCATACAAACATGCATTCCTTGCTTTGTGTATATTATTTAGCTCTGTCAGCACAATCTGCTGCTTCACCCCCCTGACAATATTTCTGTCCCTTTCAAGATTTTCTCTCCTCCACCCTTCTCTCCGACAGCATATCTATGCTACACTGGGCTGGAGTTTAACTAAGTATCGCTATCAGTTAAAATTGTCACGTACTTGTAAAAAAGAGTTAATGTTCTGGATATATTTCTGCAAAACTGGTCTCTCTACAGCTAAAATGAATTACTGAGTTCACATTTTATACATTGGTAAACCCAAACCTTCTGGGTTATGTCCTCTGCAGTGTAACAATATGGTTGAAACATATTTAATTCAATCACAGTATACACTGGATATATGATTCCCAGGCCAAACTATTTCTTTTTTATATAGAATAATTTGGGTTCAAGAAGGGAAGATTCAGCACTACAATGATTTAAAATGTCCTGCAAAAGAGAGTCTAGAGAATTATTAAAGTGTTCTCTTAAAGATTTCATATTTTCTACAACCCATGGTAACAGTGGCCTGCATTCACTATGTCAAGGAGAGTGAACATGTACAAAATTTGCAGCTGCTTAGCAGTAAATATTTCACACTGGCTAATGTCAAAGTGATTTTGAACTAACATGGGACAAAAGTCTCTGCTAGTGCCAATGCAGCTGCACCCATTCACACCTGCAAAGAACAGAATCTACAGAATGAAGACCACTTTGCAATATATCCTCATTTGTGCTGCACCTCTTTTCACTTACATATTTTCCATCTCCTTTTGGTTTTACACTAGTAGGCTGAATACATTTTTCCCCTGTAAAAACGGATATAAAGTCATATCTGTTTTTATCTGTTGTGACTATGGGTGGAGTCTCTTGGTATTATCATGCAGTTTGTTCTAGCACTTTCACAAATGTGTGTTGTCAGATACAACTTGTAAAAGTTGTTTTGAAATTTCCATTACTGTCAGCCCAAAAGAGTGAGCAATTTCAGGTTATCATTTTGCCTCTCCTATTAGGTCCATAAAGGAGATCATGAAAATCTACTAACCTAAATCCAGAGGTTATGATATAGCAAAATCTCTGGCTGGTGAATAAGTCTTCAATCTCTTCTATCATAGCTCTCTCACTCTTTCCAGGGAAGAGGTTAAATACATCTTCTAAAACTTAAAGCAGGAAGTACATTGTAGTCCATCTCTCAACTTAGGTATGTTATATTTCTTTATAAATACACCAACAGGAATAAATAGATTCTAGATTCCAAGGCCAGAAGGGACCATTGTGATCATGTAGTCCAGGGGTCTCAAACTCAAATGACCACGAGGGCCACATGAGGACTAGTGCATTGGCCCGAGGGCTGCATCACTGACACCCCCCTCCTTGCTCCCCTGCCCCGCCCCACTCCACCCCTTCAATGAGGCCCCACCCCTGCCCCACCTCTTCCCACCCCTTCCCTGCCGCCATTCCAACCTCTTCCCCGAAGTCCCCACCCCAACTCCGCCCCCTCCCTGCCCCCAGGGGTGGATGGACCCTCATTCTCTCATGTGCGGCTGCCCAGGAACATACCTTAGAGGGAATTATCCACGGACCACCTGAATGGAGCTCGCAGAACACTGGTGGTCCATGGACCACAGTTTGAGAACCTCTGTTTGAGACTATAATCAAGTCACTCCTTAACATTCTCTTTGTTAAGTTAAATAGATTGAGCTCTTTGCATCTACTACTGTATGGTAGGTTTCAGAGTAGCAGCCGTGTTAGTCTGTATTCGCAAAAAGAAAAGGAGTACTTGTGGCACCTTCGAAACTAACAAATTTATTTGAGCATAAACACAAATCAGACGTCAAGAATTATAACATTCAAAAACCAGTCGGAGAACACTTCAATCTCTTTGGTCACTCGATTACAGACCTAAAAGTGGCAATTCTTCAACAAAAAAACTTCAAAAACAGACTCCAACGAGAGACTGCTGAATTGGAATTAATTTGCAAACTGGATACAATTAACTTAGGCTTGAATAGAGACTGGGAGTGGATGGGTCATTACACAAAGTAAAACTATTTCCCCTTGTTTATTCCACCCCCCCCCCGCCATTCCTCAGACGTTCTTGTCAACTGCTGGAAATGGCCCACTTTGATTATCACTACAAAAGGTTCCCCCCCTCCCCCCCTGCTGGTAATAGCTCACCTTAAGTGATCACTCTCTTGTTACAGTGTGTATGGTAACACCAATTGTTTCATGTTCTCTATGTATATAAATCTCCCCACTCTATTTTCCACTGAATGCATCCGATGAAGTGAGCTGTAGCTC